ATCGTTAGACCATTAAGTGAAAACTATATATTATTATGTGTTTGAACTCATAAATTCTACACTTTCTAACACATTCAAACAAACAAAAAATCACTAAAATACATAATAATTCTTAAAGTTTTTCAGCTCTTTTAAAATCTTATAAATATTAAAATAATTTTGTTCAAGTTAAAACTATACCTTGAGAAAGAAAAAGAAGAATGATGCATATTTAATATTTATAAATGATATAATCGTGTAATTAAATATCAAAATTAACGTGATTCGCTAAAAAGTTTCATACCGCACACGGTGCGGACCGATCACCTAGTTAAAAAATATTTTTGAGGTTTTTTGTGCTATCTTTTTTTTTATATTTGTATAATAAAAATATAATTGTTTTTTTGCAGTTTTCGTGTGTGAATAAAAAAGAGAATAGAATTTAATATTTATGACATATGGCAGATAGAAAAAGACTGTAGTTTTTTTAAAAGTGACTTGAGATTTATTATAACAGGATTTAACCAATATTGATAATAGTATTGGGACGGAAAACGGCCAACTTCGACCCTAGCTTTTTCCGTCGTGCACTTTTATACCCGAGTTTTTGTTTATAGTTTTTTTCAACAAAAACACAAAAATAATTCAATATTCATACCTGATTTAATTTTTATTGTGCCAAAATCTACATTGACCTCAACACCATTACTCAACGGTAACAGTTTGCTGATTTGGACAACAAGCTTACAAACTAGTTGATTGGGCATACATAAAACAGATAAAAATGGCCATTATCAACCGCAATTATTTTAGGCGATTTTATACCCCAATTTATTTTATTTTACAAATATAAATTTTATAAAATATAATAAAAAGAGAGATTGACATTTAAAAAAAAAAGTATTTGTGGAAGCTAAATTTCGCACTAAGAATTTGTATGTGAATTCTGAGAATAAATTTTGGTCCTAAGAAATGTATAAATCTGACGGTAAAAAGAGTAAAGAGGAGCTCAATTTATATTGATATGAATTGATTATACATTGAGACCTCGGCTGAGAAGTATTATAAGTTAAATTATAGTGTCAAACTCTCGTATGAGTGAGAAGTTGGCGAAATCTCCTCGGACTTTAAGTATTTATAGCTTGATTCAGCTCCTCGATCTAGCTCCACGTATCTAGGGACGATTCTGCATATCTCGGGCACGTTCTTGGCATAAACTCCACGAATCTCACTCATGGGATTGTGTTAACCTCCTTGTTGACTCGTTCTTAGCTCATCAGCTCTGCTTCCGTTGATTCAGCGCTCGTAGGGCTGACTCGGGCCTAATCTTGAACCTTGTTTTTCCTTTAGGACTTGGCCGCAGGCCCACCCCTTTTCTCTTTAATAAATTGTTTTTACTTGGGCTTTTAGTGGGCCAGATTCGTCACACAGTAAAGTAATTTGTTTTTATTAAAAGACATAGCATACATTTCATCTATCGTTTTAGTAATGAAGATTCTCATTTTTTATATATTTTAAAATTTTTGTTTTCATAAACTCTATATTTTTTGTAGAAGAATAATAAATAAATTAAGGTATAAAATCGCACGTTTAAAATAGTTGTGGTTGAAAACGGAAAGTTTCTATAAATTTTAAGATCCAAGCAATCAACTAGCTTGCCAGCGTGTCATCCAACTCAGCAAATTGTTGATTAACAATGTTAAGGTCAATGTAGATTTCGGCACAACAAATATTAGAACATATATGAATACTGGCCAAAGAATCCATTTGAATCGGCCCTCCGAGAGGTAGAAATCTTAATTATTTTTGATTTTATGCTGAAATAAGCCACAAATAAAAACTTGGATATGAAAGTGCACGACAAAAAAAGCTCAGGTCGAAATTAACAGTTTTCCATATTTGGACATATGGATTATGGGCTTAGGTTTTTTTATCCATAAATATTGGAATATTTTAGTTTATGAATTCTGATAATTCGGTGGTAAGAAATTATATACATAAGCATAAACCTACTCTCATTTGTCTAACTGTACACTAGTTTTCTAAAATATTAATGCATTATAGGATTGCATCTTCTCGGTAAAACCCATTTTATGGTTAAAATACATCATCATATTGCATCTTTTCTAAAGAAACAGTTTTCTGATTATCAATGCATTTTAGAATTGCATCTTCTCAAGAAAATTCGTTTTATGGTTATTATTGCATCATGTGGTTGCGTCTATTTCGAAAAAATGTTCTAAGTGAACATGCTTTTTCCGAAAAAGTGTTTTATAGCAATTAGTGCTTCATTGGCGTCTATCTTTTTGGAATTTTATTTTTTATGGTTATAAATGCATCTTGGGGTTGTATTTTCACGGAGAAAATCATTATATGGTTATTAATGCATCTTAGGATCGCATCTTTCCAAAAAAATGTTTTAAGATTATTAATACATCTTAGGACTGTATATTCTCGAAAAAAAAACTATTTTGTAATTATTAGTGCAACCTAAGATTGCGTCTTTTAAATCGTTGTAGGATTATTAATGCATTTTACGACTGCATCTTCTCGGAATTTTTTTTATGATTATTAATACATCATATGGTTATATATTTTCTAGAAATTTTTTTTTATTAATGCAACATAAGATTGTATCAGAATCGTTCCTAGGATTTTGAGGCTAGAAGCCACTAAAAATCATTTTGATTAAAAAGATATTAGCCACTGTAATTCAAAACATTATTACTCGCATTTAGTTCAAAACAAAACTTTAATATTTCTATATTAGTAATAAATTTACGTAAATATCATCTGTCGACAAAAACAAAATTACGTAAAAAACAACTTCGATACACCAAACTTTTTATTTTAAATAAAATTTGATGTTTCATTTTACTTGGGCTTCGAGACTGGGCCGCATGCCCACCTTTTTTTTCTTTAATAAATTGTTTTCACTTGGGTTTTTAGTGGGCCGGATTCGATGACGAATCCAATTTCAACAGTACAGTAATTTTGTTTTTATTAAAAGAGATGAAATAGCGCACATTTCATCTATCGTTTTAGTAACGAGGATTCTCATTTTTGTTATATTTTAAAATTTGTTTTTCAAATAAATTAGGATCATTTGGAATGTACCTTTGCTTCTAC